CATTTATTTAAAAAAGACCACCCTAACTAATAGCCTAACTGTGACCTAGGCTAGTTCAGACCTTGACACTGATAAGACATAACATGGAGTATTTCAAAAGCTATGAAGTTGCTGGTTTCTCTTGATTTGTTTCTGATCTAAATACTGCCAAATGAATTTGGAGAGATTTCTTAGAGATATAACCAACATTTAGAGTTATTCTGGGAGGTATGTCTGGCTGACCCAGTCAGTTGAGCCTCTGACTCTTGATCTCAGATCAGGTCTTGATCTTAGTGTGGTGAATTCAAGCCCCATGTTGGGCTCCATGTTGGATGGGGAGCCTACTTAAAAACAAAACAAAACAAAACACAAAGAGTTATTATGGGAATAGTAAAAGAAGCCCTTGATTGGATGCAAAACCAAAGAATATTGTGTCTAAATTTCTGAGTGGCTTTATATCTTAAATATGTATAAATTCACACATTATACATAGAGTTTATTCTGTCATTATTTCTTTCTAATGATCTGCTTCTACTTGACATAGCTTGAACATATGCATCATTTTAATGTACAGAAATGTTATTGAAAATAAATAGTTCTCTTTTTCAGTATATTATCTAACAAGTAGAAGAAGTACAGGGAAATATGTAAAAGTATGTGCTCTGGGGGGAGATGGACCTGAATTGACTTCTGGCTCTGTCAAGTATCACCTGGTAACCTTAGGCACTCTCTATGAGCTTCAGTTTTCCTTATCATTATAATGGGGGTAATAACAGTAGCTATAAAGGGAGGCAAGGTGGTAGAAGGGTAGGGGACTGCCTTTCATCTGGTCCCTTGAATTTAGCTAAGTATCTATCAAATCATTCTGAACACCTATGAATTCAACCAGAGATGTAAGAAAAGAATTGCTGGAATTCTACAAACAAAAAAAGCAATCACATTTGCAAGGTAGGAGGTGCAGAGAAGTGAATTGGAGGGGATATATTGGAAGATAAACAGTAGGTGGTGGAAGGGAGCCTCCCACAAGCTGGCTACTGGAAATTGATACAGCAGCCGAGTGCAAAATCAGAACCTTTAAAAGCCTGCTCTAGCGAGAGATGTCCTTCCTGAAAGGTGCTCAGGTGGTGAAACAGGGCAGAATCCTAGGTAGGACAATGTGGTCTCAGGATCCCCAGGTTCACAGAAAGAACAGGGGTGACTGAGTCAGCAGAGATTCCAAGCATTGGAGCAAGGAAACTGGCTTCAGTCAGTGAGCCCAGGAGTGGGCTTTCAGCTCAATTTTCCATTGACTATGAACTGTGGCGCAATTGGGTGACTGCTCTCCAAGCAGGGGCACTGCAAGCAGCAGGCCCACAGTGACCTCCTCACTTCCCCGGATGGATAGGTGAGGGTACATACTGCAGGAGTCTGCAGTTTGGCACACACAAAAATGAAGACTGCTTTTGCCTAAGGGTTTACAAAGAGAGGGGAGTGTCATCTTTCAGCCCCAGGGCTGCAGATTGGGGCACTCTCTTTTTTTGTTTCATCCTCTAAAGCAGTGTAGAAAGCTTTCAAGGACAAAAGCCACATAGAGTAACCCGAAGCAACTTACCCTGACCCTCGCCCCCTGGCAAGGTATGGTGTAATTCTGCTGAGGCAAAGACACCTGAAAATCAGTGCAGCAGGCCCCTTCCCCAGAAGACGAGCTGGAACATCAGGGGAATACTAAGTTTATAAAGCACACAGAACTGCAAAACTCCAGCATTAAGGGAAAATAGTATATAGAAGTCGAGTTTTTTTTCTCATGATTCTTTAATCTTTCAGTTTAAAATTTTCCTTTTCAACTAGTTTCCTCTTCCTTTTCTTTTTTCCTTTTTGACTAGTTTCTTTGTTTATGAGTCTTTTTTTTTTTAACTTTCATTTTTACACTTATATTTTCTAGCTGTATTCTTCATTTTTGGCTTCCTTTCACTCTATTCAATTTTATTTTTGGATATATATGTATATATATACATATATAAACGTACGTGTGTGTGTGTGTGTGTGTGTGTGTGTGTGTGTTGCTTTCTTTACAATTTTGGGATTTAGTGTCTTCTAACATAACAGAAAAAAAAAAAAAAACAAGGACTAAGTGATCACCCTGTTTTGTACACCTGGAAGATTATATTCTCTCTTCTTCCCACTTTTTTTTTTCTTTTTCTTTTCTTTTTTGGTTTCTGACCTCTTCAGATTTGTCTATTGTGCATTTCACTTGGGTTTGTGGTTATTTTTAATTTTGTTCTCTCATTCATCCATTCTTTTGTGGGCAAAATGACTAGAAGGAGGAACTCACAACAAAGGAAAGAACGAGATGATACACACTCTCCCACAGATCCAATCAGTATGGATATAAGTTAAATACCAGAGATGGAATTCAGGAAAATGATAATAAAGTTACTAAAAGGGCTTGAAAAAAACTTAAAGACACAAGAGAATCTCTTAGTGCAGAAATAAAGTCTAATCAGGCAGAAACTAAAAATGCTTTAACTGAGATGCTGTCTAAACTGGGTGCTCTAAGAGCTAGGTTAAATGAAGCAGAAGATAGAGTCAGTGACATGGAAGACAAGATGATCGAAAGCAAGGAAGCTGAGGAAAAGAGAGAGAAAAACAACTAATGAACCATGGAGTGTGGCCTCAAGAAATCAACAATATCATAAAGCAAACAATATTAGAATTATTGGGGTCCCAAGGAAGAAGTAAGAGAGAGAGGGACAGAAAGTATATTTAAGAATTTCATAGTTGAAAATGTTCCTAATCTGGGGATGGAAACAAGCATTCAAATCCAAGAGGTAGAGAGAATGTCTCCAATATCAATAAAAATAGAACAACACCCAGAGGTATGATAAGGAAGCTTGCAAATTTCAGAGATAAAGAGAAAATCCTGAAAGTGGCTCAAGGCAAGAGCTCCTTAACCTACAATGGTAGAAACATTAGACTAGGAGCAGACCTCTCTGCAGAGAGCTGGCAAGGCCAGAAAGGGCTGGCATGACATATTCAGGGCACTAAATGAGAAAAACATGCAACCAAGAATACTTTATCCAGCAAGGCTGTTATTCAGAATGAAAGGAGAGATAAAGAGCTTCCAGGCCAAACAGAAACTAAACAAATTTGTAATCACTAAACCACCCCTGCAAGAAACATTAAAGAGGATCCTGTAAGTGAAGAAAGAGCCCAAAAGTAACATAGACCAGAAAGAAACAGACAATCTACAGAAACAAGGACTTGACAGGCAATGCAAGGACATTAAATTCATATCTGTCAATAGTTATTCTGAATATAAATGGACTAAATGCTTCAAACGAAAAACACAGAGTATCAGATTGGATAAAAAACCAAGACCCATCCATATGCTGTCTACAAGACACTCATTTTATACCTAAAGACACCTTCAGATTGAACGTGAGGGGGTGGAGAACAATTTATCATGCCAATGGACATCAAAAGAAAGCTGGAGTAGCTATCCTCATATCAGACAATTAGATTTTAAACCAAAGACTGTAGTAAGGGATGAAGAGGGACACTGTATAATATTTACAGGGTCTATCCAACAAGAAGATCTAACAATTATAAATATCTCTGCTCCTAACTTGGGAGCAGCCAATTATATAAGTGAATTAATGACAATTAAAGAAACACATTGATGAAAGACAATAATAGTAGGGGACTTCAACACCACACTCGCAGTAATGGGCAGATCATCTAAGCAGAACAACGAGGAAAGAAGATAATAAGATAAGCTTCTGCACAAAAAAGGAAACAGTCAACAAAGCTAAAAGGCAACCTATGGAATGGGAGAAGATAATTACAAATGACCTATCAAATAAAAGGCTAGTATCCAAGGTCTACAAAGAACGTATCAAACTCAACACCCAAAAAACAATTAATCCAGTTATGAAGTGGGCAAAAGACATGAACAGGCATTTCTCCAAAGAAGATAAAATTGGCCAACAGACACATGAATAAATGCTCCTCATCTCTTGGCATCAGGGAAATACAAATCAAAACCACAATGAGATACCACCTCACACCAGTCAGAATGGCTAAAATTAACAAGACAAGAAACAACAAATGTTGGCAAGGATGCAGAGAAAGAGGAACTCTCTTACACTGTTGGTGGGAAGGCAAGCTGGTACAGCAGTGCTGGAAAACAATATGGAGTTTCCTCAAGAAGGTAAAACAGAGCTACACTAATATCCAGCAATTGCACTACTGGGTACTTACCCCAAAGATACAAATGTAGTGATCCAAGGGGCACCTTCACCCCAGCGTTTATAGCAGAGTGTCTACAATAGCCAAACTATGGAAAGAACCAATATGTCCATTGACAGATCAATGGATAAAGAAGATGAATATTACTCAGCTATCAGAAAGGATGAATACTTACTATTTACATTGATGTAGATGGAACTGAAAGGTATTATGCTAAGTAAAATAAGTCAATTAGAGAAAGACAATATAAGGTTTCACTCATATGTGAAATATAAGAAACAGCATAGAAAATCATAAGGGAAGGAGTGAAAAATGAATTGGAAATAATCAGAGATGGAGGAAAGCCATGAGAGACTCTTAATTTTAGGAAACAATTTGAAGATTGCTGGAGGGGAGGTAGGTTGGGGAATGGGGTAACTGGGTGATGGGCATTAAAGAAGGCATGTGATGTAATGAGCACTGGGTGTTATATGCAACTGACAAATTGTTGAACTCTACATCTGAAACTAATGATGTACTGTATGTTAGCTGATTGAATTTAAATTAATGAAAAAAAAATAGTATCTACCTCTATTTGTATGAGTTAAATGAAGTAATCTATGCAAGATGCTAAGTATAAGTTCTGGCACCTATTAAACATGAAAAAAAAAATGCCTGTTCTTTCTGCTCTTGGTAGTTTAGAACTAGAAATAAGCTCTTGGTAGTTTAGAACTGGAAAATGTAGGCTGGGAAAGAAATCTCCTTTTTTTAAGGCAATTAGATAGAACAATGCTGTCCAAAAGAAATATAATGCAAATCATATATGCAAATTTAAATGTCCAGTAACTCTGCCAAAAAGTAAAAAGATGCAGATGATACAAATAATACATTTTATTGAATCCCATATATCTGAAATATTATTATTTAAACATGTAGTCAATATAAATAATTATTAAGGAGATATTTTTCATTCCTTAATCATACTCAGTCTCTGACACCCAGCATTTTCTTTATATTTGCATCACATCTTTACTCGGACCAGCCACATTTCAGCTGCTCAGTGGCCACATGTGGTCCATGTTTACTGTCTTGGACAGCACAGTTAGAAATTTATACTTTAAATGGATTCTTAAGGAGGCTCCTCCTGTTGTTAGGGTGGTAAATGTGGTGGGGTTGGTATAGACCGTGTCTCTTAAACTTTAGCATCCATTAGAGTCATCCTGGAGAGCAGGTTAAAATGCAAATTCCTGGGTCCTAACTCCAAAGATTCTGATTACTTAGTTCTAGGTCAGGGACCAAGAAATAGCATGTCCAAAGTAATGCCAATGTTGGTCCATAGACTACATTTCTTAGTATCATTGGTACAAAGTCTGCACCCTTGAGTTTTACCATTAACTTTGCTGTTTTCAATAATTTTCCAAAAGAAGATGCGTTGTACCTATTCTGACTATAGTAATAGAAATGAAGGGCTTTTCCATGGCACACATATCAGTTCCTGTTTCTACCACCACCACACAGTTCTAGGATTGAAAATTTGCAACCTGTTCACCCTACTCAGCCAGCTGTTGAGCCACTAGGACCAAAGCCTTGTCATATCTGGGGTGTCTCATCTGCATTAAGTGGAAATCAGCTTGTTCTTGTTTCTCCAAGACTAGAGCTCTGGCATGGGTCTCCCGAGGCCATGTGCCTCTTCAGCTGTTACCTCTCTTTTTAATCATCATAGGCTCTACCGTTATTATTATGTTGAGTTTGCATTATAAATAGTTTGGTAAATAGATATGTTCAATTTACATAATAATTTTGTCCTAAAATTTATTTAGTATGACTAACAATGTGGTTTTTTACAGTATATATTAATTGTTTCTCCTTTTCCATGAATATAAAAAACATGCATATTTAGGCAGCAGGTCACCTGTTTAATTATATATCATCATTATAATTATATATCCTTAATTATATATCCTCATGCCATGTTCATGACATGATATTGCCATTAGAAAGTGATGTTGAATAATTATGGTAGAAATTATGGGTTAGTCTCATGTTTATATATAACTTATAAGTGATTGCCATTTTGTTCTACCTAAACACTACTTCGGTAATCTACATACCCTATGGCCCTGTATGAAGATATTTAATGAAAGCTCAATAGCCTATTCTCTAAAAGAAACTGTTTATCATTTTGTTGGAGAATACTATGCAGACAAAGAAAAAAAATGTTCTAGTAATATTTAAATTCACGTAAAACACCCTTGAGTTCTAGGTACCCAGTGACCAACATGATGGGGGGCAAAAAATGGACTGAAGAGACAAATTCAGTCTTGAGTGACAGCTCTGTCTTATTGGTTTCCAGGATTAGACCAGTTAGGCAACTTATTTACTTCTCTAAAGTTAGTTTCTTCATCTGCAAAACAAGAAGAACAAAGTCTCTAGTTAATGGGGTGACTGTGAAGGTTATGGTGTTTGAGAGAAGTCAACTGCAATTATTGTTCCAGAATTAAAAAAGGATTTCTAGGTTGGTGATCTGGAAAGTCACCATGAAGGAAATGGAATCTGAGTTAGGTCTTCAAAGTTGGTATGATTTGTTTGGTCTTATTTAAAAAAAAAAAAATACTTCTGGGGGTGCCTGTGTGGCTCAGAGGGTTAAGCCTCTGCCTTTGGCTCAGGTCATGGTCTCAGGGTCCTGGGATCGAGCCCCGCATCAAACTCTGCTCAGCAGGAGCCTGCTTCCCTCTGTTTCTCTCAGCCTGTTTCTCTGCCTACTTGCGATCTCTCTCTCTGTGTCAAATAAATAAATAAAATCTTAAAAAAAAAATACTTCTGTACATGAACTATAAATTCATTGTATAAAATATTAAAGTTATAATTTTAAGACATCACTAATGATTTCACCATTCAGAGATAGTCTCTATTAATATTTTGGTATGCTTTCTTATCTCTTCTATCACTTAGGTATTTTTTTTTTAATCATTGTATGTGGAACAACAAGTTGTTAAAATGAATTATTCTTATCTTGGGGTTTCAGCATACCAAGTGTCCCCACATTCTAAAGCAAAACACTGCACCATCTATGCAGAACTTGTATTTGGGGTTCTCTTTTGCCAGCATTAGCTCACCACCCACTTTATCCTTAAAAAAAAAAAAAAAAAGAAGGTTAAGAAGTAGGAAGTTTTATAGAAAGAATGCCTTTAGGTCAATGCCTCTCAACTGGAAACATTTGGCAGTGCCTGGAGACATTTTTGTTTTCATAACTAGTGCAGGGGGTGGGGTGCTGTGCTGCTAGCATCTAGTGACTAAAAGCCAGAGATGCTGCTCAACATCCCTCAATGCACAGGACAGCCACTCACAACAAATACTTATCTGGCCAAAAATATCAATAGTGTTATAGTTGAGAAACCTGCCTCAGAGGGAGAGCTGTCCTAGAACAACAGGTGTACTGCTCCTCCCAACATCTGTAGGAGGTGTGTTTCTCTGTCACCTTGATCCAAATATGAAGATTCAAGAAAATTACTTGGATGGTTTGGCTAGGGTTCTCTGGAGTTTGGTAGACACAAGTACCAGTATCTGATTCCCTCCTGGAAAAATTCTGAAGAGGAGAGGCTAAGGGAAGACATCAGTGGCACTAGGAGGAAAAAAACAAAAACAAAAACAAAACACCCAAGTTAAAAAGCATCTGCATCCACTTTGAGAGTTCAGTGAAACAAAAATCCCTGTTTTTCTGGTCTTTGTGGACCATGACTGCAATCATCTCAAAAGGGTCCACCTCCAAGAAGATATCTGTAATGGAGACAGGCCACCTGGAGAAGGCTGAGAAAACAGTAGTATGAAACTAGGCAAGGATGGCATGCATCTTCGTGAGTAAGAGAAAGTTGGAGGGAAGTTGGCAAAGAGAAAGGGCAAGAGGATTACGTGGGCGGGACCAGGAAGATGGTTTTTAGAGAACACAAAGACACTGTATGGAAATCAGCATCTAAACCATTGTCATGTCCAAAAGGATGATGGCAGTTATCTTTTCTGATCTTTCCTTTCCTCCCTACCTTCCTTCAATCCAGCAGGATAGAGGGGCACTTGAGTGAGCAGGAAGTGAGGTGAAAAAGTGAAGTGGGTAATTGAGAAGCAACCAACCAATCCCCTTTTTCTACTGCAGGTTTCCTAAACTGGACCAGGAAAGAAGCTTCACAAAACAAGAGACTGAAGTTATGATGCTAGCATAGGCTAGGCTTTTTTTTTTTTTAATATTTATTTAAATGAGAGAGAGAGAGTTGGGTGGGGAGGGGTAGAGGGAGAGGATCTCCAGCAAACTCTCCACTGAGTGCAGAGTGCGACCCAGGGCCAGACCCCACAGTCCATGAGACCACAACCTAAGCTAAAACCAAGAGTCCAACACTCAGCCAACAGAGCCACCCAGGTGCCCCTAGGCTAGGCTTTTTAATATCTTTGAACAACTATACAAGCTATAGGATCTGCTCACAAGTTCATCTTGGTGATAGAAGAACGAGTCTCCAGAATTTATTTGAAAAAGGCAGTTGTGTGGAAGAATAAAGTTACTTTATATTTGAAACCTACCAAGTCTGGCTCCTTCAATAAACTGGTTATATGCATGTATATAACAGACATGATATGTAAATACACACACACACACACATACACACATGCAAAGAATATGTCTATGTATGATTATATTACATATATAACAAACATCTATACATACATATGTGTATGTATTTTTTATGTATTTGGATCACACTAAAAAGTTTTCTCTTATATCTCTATATTCACTTCTCATATCTCTCTATATTCACTCAGCTTCATAGATTTTTTACATCATTGAAATAATCTATTGATTATTGATATAATCTATTGATTATGATATATCTATAGATATATCACAATTCATGTCCCTAGCCCTAATTCTGTTGATAGATATTTCAATAATAAGTTACTACTAGAAATAGCACTATAATGAACATCTTTATGACTCTCCACCTGGAGAGTCACATTTTATCAAATTTAAATTTACTAAATTTTTAAATTTTTAGTTGCAGTAAAAGATATTATGCATAAAACTTACCATCTTAATAATTTTTAAGTTGAACAATTCATTAGCATTAAATATATTCACATTGTTTTACAACAGATTTCCAGGACTTTCTTGTCTTGCAAAACTGAAACTCTACACCCATTAAACAACCTTCTATTTCCTCCTCCCCTAACCCCTAGTAAGTATCATTCTACTTTCTGTTTCTATGAATTTGACCATTTTAGACAACTCATATAATTGGACCAGATCATATTTGTCTTTTCATGATTGGTTTATTTAACATAATGTCCTCAAAGTTCATCTATGTTGTAGCATAACAAGATGCTTCTTTTTTAAGGCTGAATAATATCCCATTGTATGAATAATATCCATTAGCACATATATTCTACATTCTGTTAATCCATTCGTCCACTGATGAACATTTAGGTTGCTTACATTTTTTGGCTATCGTGAGTAATGTTACTACAAATATCGGCATACAAATATCTCTTGGAGACCCTGCTTTCAATTCTTTAGGATAAAGGACTTGAATAGATGATAGATGATAGATAGATGATATAAAAATGACCCGCAAGCCTACGAAAATATGCTTAACATCACTGATCATAAGAGAAATGCAAATCAGAACAGCAATGAGATTCCACTTCATACCCATTAGGATGACTATTACAAAAACAAAATAAAAAAAAAAAAAAACAGAAAATAAGTGTTGGCAAGGATGTAGGGAAAGCAGAACTCTTGTGCACAATTTGTGGGATTGTAAAATGGAACAACCATTATGGAAAACAGTATCCATTTCCTCAAAAAGTTAGACATAGAACCACCATATAATCAAGTGATGTGCATCTTTACATATTAGATGCACAGCATCATTTCTACCCCGTTCTATTGATTAAGGCATGTGACAAGACCAGCCCAAATTCTAAAGAAGAAGAAATAAATGCCACCTCTTTTTTAAAAAAGATTTTATTTATTTATTTGCCAGAGAGAGAGAGAGAAAGAGGCAGGCAGATGGAGAAGCAGGCTCCCTGCTGAGCAAGGAGCCCAATGTGGGACTCTATCCCAGGACCCTGGGATCATGACCTGAGCTGAAGGTAAACGTTTAACCAAGCCACCTAGGCAACCCTAAATGCCACCTCCTGATGAGAGGTATAACATGTATGTACAGCAATGGAGGAATTATGGAAGACTATCTTTAGAGACCATTTATCATAGATAATTTGATAGAGAGATAATGATAGTCTTAGTTTTATTTTACATTTCTTTGATTACTTATGAGGCTTTTTTTTCGTGGTCCCTCAGTCATTTGTAGTTCTGTGAATCATCTGTTTATGCCTTGTGACTTTAAAAAACTTTCTCCAGCAGTTTAAAAAAAATTTTTTTAAGTCTTTATATGTTGTTTGTTGATTGTGAGAAAATAAGATATTAACCCATTTCCTTTCAAACTTACTGTAAAACTCTGTTTATTATATAGCATTAAATATTTACATGCAAAAAAGCATTCTAAAATTTTTAATTTCCAATTAGCAGAATCCATTTAGTTGGGTTTCTTTTTGGTGACATATTCAGTGATAATATAAAAAATTCATAATTATAGTGAATATTCATCATCTTTTTGGCAGCACAACATCCTTATGCCTTTCCTAGTTTGAGGGAAATTCCAATTGTCTGAGTTTGTATTGGACAAGGCACATGCCCCTGGGGGTAAGCATATGATTCACAAGGGGTGCAGAGAGAAATTATTGAAATATTTATTTTTATTTATTTTATCTTTAAAAAATATAAAAATTAAACTTTGCCAATACTTAATATGGACACAAACCCTGGGACCTTTGGATCTTTTTTTTTTTGGATCACATATCAGTACCCCGGGATCCTTCGATTGAATCACCTATCGGGTATAAGGGATAACCAAGAGAAAATGTTGCTCTAAAACATGGAAGGATTTTTTGTTCGTTTGTTTTAATTTTATTTGTCAGAGAGAGAGAGAGTTTAGAAAGTGAGCACAAGGAGGAGGAGCAGCAGGCAGAGGTAGAGGCTTCCCACTGAGCAAGGAGCCAGATGTGGGACTCCATCCCAGGACCCTAGGATCATGACCTGAGCCTAAGGCACACGGTTAACCCACTAAGCCACCCAGGCGATGTCCCTAAAACATGGAAGGTTGATGGTGCTGCCCTTTATCCCTCTTTGGAAGATTTCCATGTGTTGTCATTTACATGTGACTAAAAAGATCTACAGCTTATAGTACCCAGATTTTCTTAAACTATCCTTCAGGGATAACTGGCTGGTTCAGTCAGAAGAGCATATGACTTGGGGCACCTGGTTGGCTAGCCTGCTTCTCCCTCTCTCTGCCAGCAGCTGCCCCTGCTTGTGCTCACTCTCTCTCTTTCACTGTCAAGTAAATAATTAAAGTCTTTAAAAAGAAAAAAAAAGAAAAAGAAAAGAAAAGTATATGACTCTTGATCTTGGGGTCATGAGTTAAAGCCCCATGCTAGGTATAGAGATTACTTAAAATTTTTTTTTTAATTATCCTTCAAATACACAGAAGTGTCTAGAAGTTTCCTGCAAATAAATGTGGGCTGAATACACTATTATCAATGCAAATATAAATGAGCTGGGACTGACACTCCACTTCTTGTTATCTACTTTAGAAGCTCATCAGATCTGCCAAGAGATTGGCCAGACCAATTAAAATTAATAAGACGACTGTTTGATATATAGATATAGACTTACATACTATTTGTGCATTTTATTTGACTACCTATTGGTAGCATAAAGTCACTCTGATTGACAAAATGGTCTATATGTAATCTAATATGTCAAGACGAATCCCTAATTTTTCACAGATGTCAAAATTCACATGATACTCGGGGCGCCTGGGTGGCTCAGTGGGTTAAGACTCTGCTTTTGGCTCAGGTCATGATCCCGGGGTCCTGGGATCAAGCCCCGCATCGGGCTCTCTGCTCAGCAGGGAGCCTGCTTCCCTTCCTCTCTCTCTGCCTGCCTCTCTACCTACTTGTGATCTCTCTCTGTCAAATAAATAAAATAAAATCTTTAAAAAAAAAGTCACATGATACTTATTCACTACTTAAATCTTTTCCCCTAAGCCTAATGATAGATACTGAGCTTAACATTTGTACTGAAGCTTCTTACTAACATCTTTCTGAGGGATAATTTTCAGCTGTAACAGCCATTAAAACTTGATATTAAAATAAACACAAGAAACAGTTTTTGGAGTTGCCTGGCTGGCTCAGTGGGAAGAACATGAGATTCCTGATCTCAGGGTTGTGAGTTCGATCCCCATGTTGGGTACAGAGATTACTTAAATATAAAATCTTTTTAAAAAAAGGAAAAAGAAACAGTCCTTTGGATACTTTCTCAAAAATAGCTAAAACAATATTTTAGTGAAGCATATTTAATCACAGTGCTATTAAGAAAATATTACTTATAAACATTTTAGGGCATAAATAAAATACATTAGTACTAACAATACAGAAATAAATATAATAAAACATAAACTATAGTAATTTCCATTTTTCATTTTTGTCACATTTTAAATGTATATTTGTATAATTTTTATAAATAGTCATACACAACCATGTATAAATAAATGTGTTTAATCAAGAATACTTCTGGTTCACATAAGAGACATTAATGTCACAAAACAAACTGAGGGTGGCAGGAGGGAGGGGGGTAGGGAGAGGGTGGTGGGGTTATGGACATTGGGAAGGGTATGTGCTATGGTGAGTGCTGTGAAATGTGTAAACCTGGCGATTCACAGACCTGTGCCCCTGGGGCTAATAATACATTATATGTTTATAAAAAAATATAAAAAATTATTTAAAAAAAAAGATACTGATTTACTGAAAAAAAAAGAATACTTCTGGTTCACACAATGAGCAAATTAGAAATGTTTCTTTCTTTAAATAAAACTTATTAGTTATCTTTTACTTCTACAAAATAAAAGATATTTTGTAGAAATTACAAAAATAAGATTATTGAGCATAAAATAATAGAAAATGAAAAATTTAATCAAAATGGTAACAAATAGCATAGTCAGAATATATGTTTTTAATAGTTGCTTTATGGAAATGAATTCTTTATGATGATTCCAATGCTTACTTGATCCACTATCCCATTTTCCATAGAAATAACCTCTGATTTGCTCACTACTTTTCTTCAGATAGTACAAACCTTAACTAGTTTTAAGTACATTTTAATTTTGAAACTATATTCGCCACTGGCAACTGAAATTGGAAGTTACTTATAGCCTGAGAAATATCAGAATATTTGAAAACGTATTCAGTAAGTTATTGCTACAAACATTTTGATATTCAAATTGCAATATTTCAGAGGAAATCTATGTAGATTCTAGAAAACAGCTTAAAGATTTTAGTTTCTCAAGTATTTGTGACCCATAAATATCACATTTGCTGTTACAGTCATCAGTAGATATCAATTTTAACTTTTTGTGTAGTTGTACTATTTCATTTTCTTCATATTTCATCAGATGGTGTTATCTAGAGCACCAAAATAGGTGTAGTATTTTCTTGGCATCATAAAACTTTTTTTTTAAGTTTTTATCATAAATAACACTACATCAAAAACTAATGATGTACTATATGTTGGCTAATTGAACTTAAAAAAAATTAAAAATAAATAAAAGAAAAAATAAAATAAGAAATAAAACTTTCTTTAATGATAATATTATTGTATCTGATACAGAAAACAAAATTCTTCACTTGGAAATTTTGGTTTTCGACAAAGATGGGTTGATTGTGGGATTTCCCAGTCAAACTTGGTCTTTTTCCTTGTAGGTTTGAGATTCATATCTACATCCAGAGATTGTAATATCTTTAACAACAATAATATATTTTTCATAAAAACCACAATCATACTTTTTTAAAAAATAAATTTCTTAATCTCTTTGATGACATTTGAAGGGTATTATTTAAGTCTTGAATTTCAGTTTCTGCGACATTTTGCTTACAACATTAATACTTTTTTAAAATATGATAAATTAAAGCTAAACAAAAAAATATAACTTTTGATATTTTTTCAAGTATTCTTTGGCTTCTTTTCTAGAATATATACATTTATTAGTGCCATCACAAAACTTTAAGAGTTTTTAACCTGCCTCTATTTGTGTTTTTATTTTTATTTATTTTTATCAATGGATATTTTTTAATTTTAAAAAACGTTTAAATTTGGGATGCCTGGGTGGCTCAGTGGGTGAAAGCCTCTGCCTTTGGCTCAGGTCATGATCCCAGGGTCCTGGAATCGAGCCCCACATCAGTTCTCTGCTCAGCAGGGAGCCTGCTTCCTCCTCTCTCTCTCTGCCTGCCTCTCTACCTACTTGTGATCTCTGTCCATCAAATAAAAAAAAAAAATTTTTAATGTTTAAATTTTTAAATCAGGTTTCTTATTTTAATTTGAGTACAGTTAACATACAGTGTTATATTAGTTTGCGGTGTACAATAGAGTGATTCAACACTTCCATACATCATCTGGAGCTCCTCACAAGTGCACGCCTACATCCCTGTCACCCATTTCACACACCCCACCCCCACCGAATCTCCCCTCTTCTACTTGTGTTTTTAGTAGCATCATGTTACCAACTGCATTTCCTATTCCAAATTCAACAATGGCTAAATACTCATGTTTAGTAAATGTGTATCCAATGCTTTTTAATTTTTATTGAGGCTGAAAAGTGGTTTTATACTTTGTGCCATATAAAAAGCTGTTCAGAGTTACCAGAGAGTTTTGCTGTCTCATTTCCTCCCAGTTTAAAAAAATGCACAGAAATCAGAATACAGGATATTTTATCATTTTCAAACATCAACTGTTGCAAGTTGCTGTTTTCCTTGCACATTTTTGCTATTATTGTACCCAGGATTTAGATTTCCAGATTTTCTCTTATAAGTGGTTACTAAAAATACATATATAATTGTTCTTTACTTAAGTCACCTACTGGACAGAACTGCCCCCAACTTGTCACATGTAGAAATAACAAGACTTCAATTTTTTTAAATTCACAGATCTAACACCAGTTATCATCTGTTCTACAGGGCTTTGATTATATGTGTATGTGGTATGTAGGAGCTAGCTTGCACTGGCTGGTGAAAGCCTACCATTAAATATTCAGGAATTTTGTGAACCGGTTGTTAAATTATTAGGAGCTTGAAATCAGCCTTATTAGGAGTGTTTGCAACATTGAAATCAGCAAGTGCCACAGTTTTTCTTTTTTAAGAGAGGTTATCAGCACACCATTGATTATATCTAAAATGATTGAATAATAATTAGCATTGTTCACCTCATTAAATAATATTTTTAATTCCATCTGCTATAATCTTGATTTTCGGTTTTATATTTCATCCCCTACATAATGTGCCATATTGTTATTTGTTGTTGATGTTTGTATTATGCTTAAGTGTCAGTGGTAATGTTATCCAATTTTGCTATGGTTTCTACTAAATGAAGGAGATTCCTATTGTCATTCAGTTGTTTAGTTAATTCTCTGAATGCTCAAATGTTTTGCTAAATACATTAAAATTTATAGTATACATTTACTATTGACACATTGTTTCTCATCTTCAAATAGTTTATTTCCTATAGCGTCAAAATTATTTTTTTCAAAAGTTAAACAATAAAATGATAGTGATTCATTTTATTCTTCATTTTTTTTATGATAAGTGACAAAATCTGTCATTCTATGCCCCCATTCTCTTTATTCAGTTGTTTTTTTTTTCCCATAAGGGATTTATAAAATAATATGTGTGTGTGTGTGTGTGTGTATATATATATATATATATATATATTTATATATATATATATATAGATTTCTTTCAGCTTAAAAAAAAAATAACAGGAGTTAGGATTTTTCTTTCAACATTAGCCGGAATTCTTATATGAGAAGTTTTCAAAAACTTCCTATCTGTGCTTTCATTGAGAAGATAAACTTGTCCTCTTGGAGATGGATAATCTCAACAAGAGAGTTCTGCTTTCAGTATTCAAATACAAGGACTTTAACTGGATCAACAGCAAGTATAATCATTTAATGGATTCTATGTGGGTGTTTTTCCTCTCTCATTTTTTTTAAAGAAATTCATCCATTCCCATTCACATAGAAATAGAGAGTAAATTCACCACTTGTCCCCTCTGTGAAGTCTGCTAGATTCTCCTGAGACTAATCATTTCCTTTTATTTCTTCCCCCTGGCATTCAATGATCCAAATAATTTCTTTTTTGTTTTTTGGATGGTGGATTCTCATTTTCTGTTTTTCTGATCATGACACAATGTTGGGCAGAAATAATGTGATCATTTTATACATTTATTTTAGAATGTGTAAAATTTTTAACTTTTATTCATTTAATGAGCCATTAAGCTTTAACAGCAATTAAAATTGTATGATAAAGTTTTCACAGCATAATAATGGCTATGATATAATTAGATCATTATGTGGTAATGGTAAATAAATATTACTCATTCTATAGAGACTCATGTCAGATGAAAGTATTATTAGGCTTAAATGGAAACTCTGCAATATCATTTTAGTAAAATAGACAAGTGACAATACTGTTAACTACAAAATAAGACTCAAAATTTAGCTACATTTTACCACCAGGGAATTTTTCTTTTTCATTCTGAGATATTTTCTGATGAGCTCATGAAATTTGTGAAAAGTAGCTTCCAGTATTAGAAGCATTGTTTATTGTTACATCAACAAAGTCTTTTGTTTGTTAAGCTCGTTCCTTCACTATCAAAGCAAAACAGTATATATGTATTCTATTACGAAAAGATATTTTACTTGATTAGTTAGGGAACTGTTATAATAAATATACAAATAGCCTATCTTTGACACCTAAAACAAGTTATAATAAAAATATAAAAATAGATCAAAATAATAAATGTATCTACAATGTGACTGTCATTCTCTTAGTTATTGTGACCTTATACGGAACCCAACCTGGATACCTGTAAGCAGCAGATGTGCTCATGTTGGAGATGCACATTCATAGGGCCTAAAGACCACTTCATGAGCATAGAGTAGAACTAACAAAGCAGGCATACTGTTACTACAAATAAAAATAAAATTTAAAGAAGTTAACTTGATCCATCTCTTCCTTTGTGATTTTCTCCATTGGTTTGCTTTCTGTTTTTTCATATAGAGTTATTTCCCTCTCTGAGATCATGACACTAATCATCCTCCATATTTTCTGCCATTTTTTACATTAAATAAAACTTTTAAATTCTGTTAGATTTATTTTGATGCATGATATATAGTAAGAATCTAACTTTCTCTCAAAGTTTTATCTATTGTGTATTCACCCTTTATATAATAATCTTTACTCATTTCTTATATCATTTTATCATAACAGCTTTTGATAGGGTCTTCTTCTGTAATATTGTTTTTATTTGTACCTATTCTTGTACTTTAACATGGTATTTTATCCAATATGGCCAAATAATAAAACATTTCATTATTTGGCAAGATGACTCTTCATTCATTAAGCTTTGCTTCCTTTTTTTCATTAGACATTTTTGTCCATTTATTCTTTCAATGTATAACATAGGACTTGAAAGAGCGGAAATAAAAAGAGAAAAGGTATTTCAAGGAGAAAAATGGAGTAAAAACAAAGAACTTCCACCAAGTCAATGGAAAGCAATGTTGAGTTTAAAAAAGGAAGGTTATCTGTTTTTTGGATCTCCCCTGTCTTGGAGCTAAAATGTATCCTCTGATATCCTTATCAGACATCCTTACTCATTCATGTAAGAGAATAAAAGAAAAAAAAATACATAAATACTCTAACAGAAATGTGTATGAATACTGAAGGCTTGCTACAGCACTTGCTTATATAATGTGTTCTTTAAAACATGCTTAGTAGAAAGTTTCTGCAAATATTCTGAGACAGTAAAATTTTCTAAACCCGATATTTGTTTTTTTCTAAACCTGATATATGCTTCACAATGCCTTCCCTGGAAACCTTACCTCCTACCAACTTTCGTGAAGTGTCATATATTCTTTTAGTAAACCTGAGTCAAGATTCAAGGAAGCCCTGGTTTTCTAATTGAGAAGTTTGAGCTTGGTTTCATTTTGAGGTTTTGAGGATGATAGAAACTTAAAACAAAATGAAAGCTCTTTAAATCCTCAAACCTCCATTTTATAATAAGTATTTATAGTGCCCTCTGTTCTGCCACAAATGAAATTTAACCATAAATTAACCTACCTATATACAGATTTTTTAAAATCACTATAAGACTAACTTTACGATAAAGAATACATAGAAGGAAAGAAATTTACAACTTCAATATGTAAATGCTTGGTCACAGTCACATTGAAAAGTTTAAGGAAGTTGCTAGATATTTGCAACTCTGTGTAGCAATCACAGTGAAAGAGACAGCTACAGAAGCAGATTAATGCCATGCACGGTATTGGCAACTCAAAAACCTAAGTGTTTAGACTCAATAATTTGATTTTCCAAAATGGGAAACCACTGTTGATAATGTTCAGCCTAAAATACAATATAACCCTTTCTTGAATTTTATGTAGTTGCATGCTTGAAAAGGTCAGTGTTACATAAAGCAAGTTGGAGTTTGCCCTCATTTCATTGTACTCATCCACTTTCTGAATGCATTCCAGAAGTACTGAAACTCTTGATATTCCTAAGAGACAGATCCTCATGGACAACCACAACACTTCCAGTGTTATAATGAGATGGAAGACTAGATTGATCATGATAATCTCAGGTCTGTTAGACAGAAGTGAATGCAGATAGAAGTGGGAATGGGTGGAGGACTCCCTCCTCCACAAGATGAGCTCTCAAACCAAAATTCCAAAACATGTAGGAAAAACGAACCCCTAGAAATTCAGCCAACAGAATCAACAATCAGGAGATAGAGTCATCCTCCCAAAAAAGATTTTTTTTTAAGCATGATAGGATCTGAAAAAATTTCACCAAGTCATCCTCAATTAGCTTTGTAACTACATAAATAAAATATTTTCACTTACAAAAGTCTGCTATTTTTCAATAGGGTACTTGTAAGGATGATTATGTACACAGAACAAGAGCTACATCACCTGAGCTAGATTTTTATTGCTTTTTGTTGAGTAAGTCTCACATGCCACTTGAGGGAGAAAAAGGTCATTTCAAACCAAATTTTTAAAAAATTTAATTAGCCAGTAAAGTCTCAAGAAAACAGCCTCCTAGAAGTCAGAATCAGAGACCTCAGAGTCTCTTGATACCAACCATGACACCTGCCTAACCCACTTTCAGTGAAATCACTGCTCCTGTGGCTCATAGTCCTTTCTGACTGTAAATAAAGTTCTTTGTCAGACTAATTAGAACATGACAGTGAGTGAAGTGAGGCCAATGAATCCTGGCTCTGTCACACATCAGCTATATGAACTTGAGCAAATTATCTACCCTCTTTGCATCTTTATTTTTTCACCTGGTAAATGGGGATAATAATAGTACTTATTGCTCTGGTTTTTCATAAGAACTGAAATTAACTTTTATGAAGGGCTTGAGATAGTACCTGGAAAACAGTCTGCTACACAAACATTGCAGGAATTCCAGCCTTAGTCCTCACTGCTAGAAAACTGCTAGAGTCCCAGCTAAGGATCCCAGTTCTTCACATGATTTTTCATATTGCATGATTTTTATTCTCTTTCCATCCTTATCAGGCTCAATTTGGCAATAATCCTGAAGAGTGGGTTCCTAGATTAAATTTGTACCTCAGGTGGGTTCTGACCTGTGCCTCATAGAATGTGTTCATGCAGCAACTTAAAATCAGTGCCAACTCTACTTCTACTAATATGTCCAAAATTTTATTCATATAGGAATCTGGAATGTCAGTTGACAAAATGAGGTACCCAAGAAATTTTCTTCATATTTTTATAACCGAACTCAATTTATATTGTGAGTCCCCACACTTTTGCATAGTAAAGACATAATTTGAGTTAATTCAAATGCAAGCTCCTCGGCTTGCCCAGGGCTGCATCAGAACTTTGGGGGTCACTAGGTTCACAGGACTCATAGGGTCAAAGTATCAGGATGGAGTGGGAGAGAATATCTGATTGTTGGTGGGTGTCTACACTATCATCCACTCAGAGGTCCTGGTTCCTTTCCAGACCTCAATCGTTGGTCATTGGCAGGCTGATATGGCACCTTTTTGCCCTTCGTTGTCATTCCCATCATTAGATCTCTTTAAGACCCTGATTCTCCTTTGAGTCACACCTCCGTGTGGGAAAATTCCACTGTGGGGCACTGCTATGATCTGTGGGAAACTTATATTCTTCAGTCCTAGACTCTTTTGCTGTTGCAATGCCATGCTCTAACACAAGGAACTCAGTGAAGCTTACATTACCCAGACAACAGTCGGGCTGCCCCCTTAGGAAAGTGGTGGGGCTGGAACTTGCCTCTTGTCACTCACACCCCCAGACACTACCCAGGGACAGAAGCTTGAGCCTCCTCAAGCTTATCCAGTTTCCTGAATCCTTGGTTCACCCCCATTACCCTAGAAAGCCACAAGATCTTATCATACCTCCTCTGTTTCTCTCCATCATACAGGGCAAGAAATTTTTGTTTATTTTTGTGAAGCAGACACTGACTCTAATTCATCATGTATTCTTCCAAATGAGATGAGGCTTTTTTGAAACAATGATCATTTGTTAATTTGATAACACTTTTAAAGTCTACTTTCTCCCATGGAGCCTCTTTCCCAAGGATAAGAAGGAAAAATGTTTAGCTCCCCAAATTGAAAAGAGGGAGAGAGTTGGGGGAAAGCGGAAACATGAAAAAAACACATCAGTTAGAACAACAGAATTTCTCACCTTATTACCTTTTGTGATGACAATGAATCAAATTGAGGCAATTCTACAATCAAGTAAAATATTTTCTCAGCCCCAACTGTAAGTCAGGCTTTATGCTTGGTGCCAGGGGCACAAAGACGAATGAGACCAGGCCTCACTGCCGTCATTCAAGGATGTCTCATTTTCGCCACTTCTTCCTCTGCTTTATTTAAGATTATGTAATTTTTTGGCCATATTACAACTTTTCCACCTGTTTCCCTGCTTCAAATCTCATTTTCCAGTTTTATGTGCCCCCTACTGACCCTTCACATTTACTGAAACAAACTTAATCATATCATTCTTTTACTGAAAAGTTTACAGTGGTTCCCATCATCTTTGGGACAAAATGCTAGGCACAGTCCTCATTCCTAAAAACATTATTTCATCTAGTTCTCAAAGCAATGCCATCAGGTA